CCAAATTGAAAGCAGCGCGGGACGCGCCTTCTGCGCACGTAACAGCTATGCGCCGCAGGATAAACACATAGTTGTCACTGCACGCCGTGCCATATGTTTGGGGATGGCGTGGCGGATCGTTCGGGTTGAAGATGTTCATCCCCGACGTCAGGAACCCACACGCTAATTTCCCAAAACTGTCCAGCAGCATCAAAGCTGCTGAGTGTCGGGCCCTGGTTCCAATTGTAACAGCGTTGTGCGCAGAATACGACATCCCTGGAGATACTGAGTGGAGGACCCGAACATTGTGCATTCGGAACCTGAATCGTTTCTATAATGAGGTTGGTGCGGCAGGCGTGTTTCCGTCGGCATCCCAGCGCGACAAGATGCGCGACTCGTGCACGCGCTGCCTCGTGTTGTACAGCTCGCTGGCCAGATCCGCAGCTGACGCTGGTCTAAAGAAATGGAGCATAGTGAACAAATTCCACTTCTGGTTTCATTGTGGAGTAGAAGATACATGGGTCAACCCACGAATGCTCTGGACATACCAAGGGGAGGACTACCAGCGACACATCTCATTAGTAGCAAGCTCGTGCGCGACTGGCACCACTCTTCTGGATGTGGTAAATAAGCTCGTCGAGAAAGTTAGGCTAGGTAAGCATGCAATGCGACACGCGATTTCCGCCGTGTCCACGATCACCCTTGTCACCAGACAACCGTCGGCTTTATCAAGTTCAATTGGTCCGACGCCTCAACACCTCACCAAGGAGAGGTGGCGGACATGGAGCTCGCTCGCGGGTGCCACGTTTAAGCCGCTAGCCAGCCGTGGAGGCATTTTGCTTCAAGTGGCGGACTCGAGGGAGGTGGGGGGAGGACAGCGACGGGGGGGGGGGTAGGCGTGAGGGAAGACGCCTTAAGGGGGGGGGAGTGGATGGGGAGGTGGGGCGAGGGATGGGGGAGTTAGCGAGGGGAGGGGCAACTATAGGGCAGGAGGGAGGGAGATACACGAAGATCAACGCACGGAGAATGCGAGCGCACGCCGCATTCGCATGGTCACGCATGCGCCGCTGGACTTTGCGCGACAGAGGTGCGGCACACTGCCAATGGAGCCTCTGGAGACACTGATGGGAAAAATGTAGAAAAAACAGTGAGTGCACTTGCTCTTGCATGCAAAACGTTTGAGGCCTCTCGCAATCATCCCATGGAGTTGGGCTTCCCCTCTCGGTTGCCAATCATATCTCTTGCACAGCCTGTCGAGGCCGCCGTCTGGGGGGGAGTGGCTCGTCAAATCGTAGGCGGATCCCCCTCCCGAAAAAAAAAAAACACACGTGCTAAGTGTATTCAATATCGCTGACAGCGATGTTCCGACTGCCCCCGAACCCACCCGCACCGTTATTCTGAAAAAATCGAACCGAGACCGTGCTCCCGTGAGCTATTCGATTCGATTCAATTCTTGATCATGTTGATGTTGGTGGTGGTGTCGTGATGATGATAGTGATGCTGTGCTCGCGGTGGCAACGCCATGCTATATATATATATATGTATGTATAATGCTGATGCTGTTGGTGATGATGATGATCATGATGATTAAGGTGATGATGACGATGATGAGGATTACGATGAGGATGCTGAGGATGAGATCGTCGACAGGGGTGCTGGGGATGATGAGGATGGTAACGGTGATGATGACGGTGGCGATGATGGTGATGATGACGATGACGATGGTAATGATGATGCTGATGATGCTGATGATGATGATGATGACCCGCAGTGATCTCGCATCAGGACTGAGCCGCTATAAGACGGGCGTCTAGGCGGGCGCGTAGGTTTAGAGTAGGTTTTGCTGTGTCGGGCCGCGCGCGCGCCCCGCCTCTGCGGGGATGCGCGCGCGGCCCGCCCCGCGCGCGGTGCCTGCCTACATGAGAGCCAACAACATCACAGCCATCATCATGCTTACACCACCGCCTCATGTGACGATTGTGGTGGTGGTGAGGGTGATGCTGATAATGGTGATGATGACGACGACGACGACGATGATGATGATGATGATGATGGTGGTAATGATGATGATAACGGTCATGGTGATGATGATGAAGATGGTGATGGTAATGGTGGGGTGGTCGTACTGGGTGATGACGGCGAAATGTTATGTTGATGTTGATGATGATGATGATGATAATGATGACGACGACGATGATGATGATGATGCTGATGATGATGATGATGATGACATCGATACAAATTGGTGATGGCATTTCGCAAGGCCCGCGGTGCTACGCACGCGCTGGAAATTCCAGCCGTCGCGCTGGAAATTCCAGCCGTCGCGCTGCAAATAGAATTTCCAGCGCGCTGGAAATTCCGCGCTGCATTTTCCCGACGTCGCGCTGGAAACGCAAAAAAAACTAAAATGCATAGCGCGCTCCCGAAATTCCGGAACGATGCATATCGATAGGCGCGCTGCATTTTTTTGGTGATCGGGGCATCTGGGTGGAGCAAACCAGACGACGGAATGGCAATTAATACGATCGGGCAGGAACCGAATGAGTGCGGACATGGTCCCAACCATGCTTCCAGCAATTTCAGGGCCAACGCGGAGCGCTCGCCTGCGCGGAATAACTGGGGACTCGAACACTGGCCAGGCGCTCGAGGACAGGGGGCGAGCGGGGCTCCAGGAACGGGGCGGAATAATGCGTAGGAGCGCGCAACATCGCCGCTGCATTCACCTGCCGAGTTGCGTGGGGCATCGGGCCCCACCAATGGATCTGCGGAGCGCGCCAACGCCAGGTGCGGTTGAAAAGTTCCAAGGGGGCGCGAGGCGCGCGGGGGCGTCGCTGAGGGCCAGCCAGTTTTCTTAATTGAATTGCGGAGTGGAGCCGAGGTGGCTCGCGGCACGAGGCGGGCCAAAAGCGCGCTGAAATAGTCGTTGAAGAGTTGGGCCTGGACCAGCGCGGGGCAAGACGAGGCGCCGGGCGAATGGCAGGCCCGCGAAGAAGACGACGAGGGGCCCAACCCAGCCAAGAGGCTCAGAAACACCAAACCTCGGTGGCTAGAGCAAATGATTTTGCACAGGGCCGCTCAGACACGCAGATCTCAGTCAAGGAGCTCGCGCGCCCCGCGTCCGCCCCGACCCGAGGGGCGCGGCAAAGTGTTTTGATAAAGTGCGGCAGCTACTTCGAGAACCACAACCGGCGCGGGCATCAGGTTTTGCATCAGGAACGCCCCGCGGAGATTAACTGCGCGCGCCGACGCCGACTTTGCAGACGCAAGATAATACGTGCACAAACAAGCGGTGGAACAGTAATGTGGGGATCGCATGCAAATTGAGTCGTCGAGCTCGACTCAGAGCGCGTTGGTATTATCTTCTGGAGAAGCAGAGTAGGACGGGATGGTGAAATGTGGCCCAGCTGTGGTAGGACTACGAGCAGTTCCCACTTCTTTCGATGTTGTTTGCAGCATCTCGTGGAAAAGCGATGCCAGCGCAACCGTTGCCATTGCGAGCCGGCGAGGGCTAGAACAAGTCAGACACATCGAAGTTCGTCAGTTTTGGCCGCAATCGCAGACACGACGAGGAGACATCGAAGTGATCAAAGTAGGAATGCATAACAGATGCGCAGCTGATTGAATTAGATACTTGAGGAGGGACAGCATGTCCATGCATATGCGAGGTGCCAATAAGCACCTTGCTGACTTTAGACATGAGCTAGCACCCGCTGTGGAGTGTTAGATCAATCGTGGTCCGGGGTATCATCGCGAGCCAGTACGCCAGGGATTTGAGCTCAAGATCAGTTGGGGTGCAGGTTTTCGTTCACGCGACTTAAACCACATTGCAGAACATGTTCGTCATTGTGTATGATTTGATGTTCAGCGATATGCGAATATAGCGCACGGTGTGTTCGAAAGGCCCTGCACGCTTACGCCCAAAATCAGGGTCACCTCTTTTTACACCACTTCTGGCTTCAATGTCTTCTGTATTGAACTTGCCCTGCTGGAGTGGAGTCCTTGTGTCAGCGCTCTGCCCGCATGTTCGGTATATCTCACCCGTCTGCACATTCGGCTTATCAGCCGAAGCGCGGGGTTAGATTATAGCGTTCCGATTGGGTGAGCAGGTGCCACGCAGTAGTGTAGCATACGGTGGATGTATAGCAGTCGTAGCAGTATTAGTGGATGGACTGGTTGCTGGTGTGGCTCCAGGGCGATTGCCTCTTCGTGAAAAAGCTCTTGTTCCTTTTGCATCGGAGGAGGGGGATTGATGCCTTTTCTGGCCAGCCATGACTACCTTAAGCCTTGCCTTATCGTGTTTGCTGGCTGGCCTAGTCGACCCGCCGCAGCACGAAATACATGTTGGTATGCAGCAGCGGGATGCGATTAGGCCATGCTCTCTTGTGGCCCGGCACACCCAGGCCCCATTGGCGCGTCGAAGCCGACACGACCGCCCAGGTGTTTTGGATAGCCCTGAGTCGTGACTTCCGGATGCAGTAACAGTCAAGGTACTTGACTAAGGACGAACTTGGTCCCAGGAGGTGCTCTTGGCCAAAATCGCATGTGCAGCACCCATGCAAAGGATGCTGTCAGGGCGGTGCCGAGTGACATTCCCTTGCGCCGGGCGTGCGGTCTTGCGCCGGGCGGGGGTCAATAGAATGATCCGGAGAAGATGGAGGCGAAGGGGATGGATGAGGATGGGGAAGAGTTGGCGGTGTCCAGGAGGGGGAGGAGGAACGCAAAGAGGGGGAGAGGAGAGGCGAAGCGGTGGAAGACATAGGGAAGAGGACGGAGTGGTTCCCCACCCCCCCTCCTCCCCCCCTCGGATCCGACGGCGCGAAAAAAAATGAGACGTCGCGAGAGATCACCACCTGGAGCCCCAGACCCCATCCTTCTGCAGCGTCCGTCGAGCCCGCTCGACCTTCGAGGGCCCCGGGGCCAGAAACTTGGCGAAAACGCCCGGCCCGAAAAAGGCGGGACGCCAGGATCTCAGGGCCCTCCGTGCTCCTCGATTGCCCCCCTCCCTGCTCGCACAGCTGGAGGCGAGCTGGCGCTGCTCACGAGCGCCGTGGGCCTGCCGAACCTGGTCAGCCCGGCGGTCGACTGGCAGCTGTTCCGGGGCGCGCCCACGGCCGACGACGTGCAGCAGGGGGAGGTGCCCCAAACGGGGCAGGGAGAGCGGGGGAAGGGCGGGATGGGAGGGAGGGGGGGGTGAAGGCAGGGAGGGAGGGAGAGAGGAGGGGAGGAGGCTTTGGAGCCTTCTGGGGGTCTGAGGTGGCCCAGCACTTGTTCCCGCCAGCAGGAAGGGCTGGCAGGTTCGAGGTTCTGAGTTCGGGAAGGTGTTTTGCTTTGTTCGACCTCTGGGGGCTGTTTTCGGGCCCAGGGCGAGAAAAGCGGATCCTGGGGGGAAAAAAACCCAGGAGTGGTTAGGGGACCGATTGTTAGCGCATTTGTTTGCATCCCCCCTTCTGACCAAATTTCGTGGGATTCAAACCCCCCAACCTCCTCCAAGGGAGGCTGGGACAGGATAGGACACGGATGGAACGATCGCGAAGCGAGGTGGAGTTCCCGAACACACACCAGCACGAGCATCCAGCTCGGCTCTGGTTCATGAGGGCTGCTTGCATGTGAGCAACGGAAAAAATAGCAGGGCCGTCTGCGCCGACAATCGCGCGTAAGCTGCCCGCGTAAGGTCGCGCGTAAGCGCCCTTGTCTCCAGTGTGGCGTCCCGCGCGGGCGGCCCGCGCAAGCCGCCGCGCGCAAGGTCGCCACGTCATCTCGCGGAAGACCCCTTTCTGTTCGTCGCTCATGTGGGCCATGGGAGCGCAGGAGGGGGCAGAGAGCACGGAAGGGGAGGGGGAAGAGAGGGCGGCTACATTGGTTCTGTTTCTCGCCATGCCCGCCGCCCGCCTGGATGTCAAAGGCTTTTTGGCGGTTGGGCAAGGCGAGTGCCTTGCTTTCCCGCGGCCCGCCGCGGGCCACTTACGCTACGGGCGGTGTGCCCAGCAGCCTGCGCAAAAAAAGAGAAGGCGGCTGGGATGGAGGGGGCAGGGCGGGATGGGGGAGGCAGCGGAGCTCGCACGCGGAGCCTCACGCGCACGGAGCGCACGCTCGGCGGGGCCTGCACGGACGGAACACACGCACGCGCGGAACTCGCACGGACGGACCTCGCACACTGCGGAGCTTGTGAGATCCTGCCGGCCGGCCCAAACTTGCACGAGCTCCAGTCCGGGCGAGTGCCGCGCGTGCGTGTTGCGTCCGTGCGACGTCCGTCGCGTGCGGGGTCCGTCCGTGCGAGCTCCGTCCGTGCGAGCTTCGCTGCCTGCAAGTGATACGGTCAGGAACTTTGGGTTCGCTTGTCGCAGCTCCAGTTCTGGCCCGCCACTCTTCGGCGCGACACGCCACTTCCCGCTATCCGAGCGTCAGCGTCCCGAGCCTTTCCGAGCCTCCCGCCCGCGGAGCGAAACGCTGTCCGACTGCAGGGCGCAGCGAATCGTTGGGGCCGCCGCCGCGACACGCTGCGCAAAAGTCCCCGACCGTAGAGGGCGGGCAGGGGAGGAATGGGAATGGGAAGGTCGGAATGTCAAGGGAAAGGGAAAGGGGAGCTCTCGAACCTGGAAGGGGGAAGACCCGAAAGGCCCCCTTGTCGGGGCGCGCGCTCGGCCTTGCTTGGGACTCTGGACCGCCAGCCACGGCAGGGGAGGGAGGGGGGGAGGTGGGGTCCTGGTGCGCCGCACATGTGAGGGTCAGGCGGTCGCAAACATGGATCAAGGGGGCGTGGATTAGCGACGGGCCCCGTTTCCATGGGAAACCGCGGATTTCCGCCGCCGAGCGAGGCGGCACCGGCCGCATTCTGGGGAGGGCACCTCCCCCGATCCACGGATTTGGCGACCGCGCGCCCAAATCCATGGATCGCTAGTCCATGTTTGCGCGCCCCCGGACGCACCTGTGAGGGGGGAGGAGGCGGGGTCCGACGGGGCACGGGCGGCCCTCCCAGCCGAGGATGAGTGCAGCTTTGCTGCGGCGTTGGGGCCCTCGTGACAGGTGCCTGGCCCGTTGCCTCGTCGTGCCCTCCCGGCGTGCCTGCCGTCCGCGTGCCAGGGCGCCCAGGGGCGTGGTGCTCCTGGGCGCCTCCCTGCGTCGCCATGCCGCGAAGGAGAATGCAAGAGTTATGATGTTCCAACCTACTTTAGCCTTGACCACCAGAAAGAGTTTCGAGCACCACAAAAGTACCGAAACACGATGGCTTTCACGTGTCGGGCCCTGGGAGACACTCGTCCGACACTGTTTCGATAGGTACTGTTTCGACACTCGTTCGATACTTTTCCGGGTGCTCGAAGTTATTGCTGGGATGTGGTCCTTAAGTACGATGGGAGCCACATAATGCAAGAGTTGTTTCACCGCCCCTTGCGTTGCCATGTGACGAGTCGAGTAGAGTAGATATGTTCGCCTCCCCCCCTACGTTGCCATGCGGCGTAGGTCACAGAGAAGTCATACATCCGCGCTGCTGCGTTGCGATGCGATGCGTGACGTAGAATGGTAAGCGCCCCTTCCCCTAAGTTGACGTGTGACGAATGAAATACGTATCATCGTGTCCCACCCCCTCCTCCCTGCGTGGCCATTCAGCTGCTAGAGGAGAACGAGGCTTCTGCCCCCCCCCCCCCCCCCCCCCCCCGCAAACCCCTTATGACGATCAAAGCAGAATCATGTATAGTCCGCGCTGTTCGGTTGCACATTGACGGCTATAACAGGATCGCGATTGCTTCCGCACATCCGATATTCGATTCTTCGATATGCGAAAATTTCATGTGACAAATGTCTTCCCCTCAGCGTCTCACGCTCCACAGGGCGCACGCGTTGCAGGGAGCAGAAGGTGTTCCCCCCCCCGCCACCCCACCCGTCCCTCCATGGCTATCTGACGAGGATCTTCGAGTAGTGTTTGTGTCCGCCCCCCCTGTGTTGCCATGCAGCGAGTAATGTAGAATAGCATGTTTCCTGTCCCTTGTCTTGTCATGCGACGGAAACGTAGAATAGGGTAGATACCTGCCCCAACTGCGTTACCGACCCCCCCCTCCCCTCCGTGTTGCCACGCGAAGAGAATCTTGGAAGAACGTGTGTGTTCCCCCCCCTCCCCACCCCCGCGTTGCCATGTGTTGAGTCGAACCATACAATCATAGATCAACCCCCATCACCTACCCCTGCGCTGCAATATGACGATTGAAATATGACAGTGCGTTTGCCGCCCCCCCTTGAGCAGCCATGCGACGAACAGGGGCATCATAGTCTCACCGTTCGCTCCCCTGCGGTGCAACGTGACGGGGAAGACAAGGTGGCCTCGCGAAGGTCGGCGGCCAGCCCTGGGGGGAAGTCAGCGGGGGCGGGCCTTCCTAGAAGGCTCGGAAGCCCTCCCCGAAGACACGGAGAACATGTCTCAGAAGAGGGCCTCTGAGAGGCCCCGCCGCCCTCTCGGAAGGCAACGTCCTGTTCATTGTTCCCCCTCGTTCGCCGCCGAGAGGGGGCCAACCCCATGAGGGCGTGGGCTGCGAAAGGCGCGGCCCTCTCTCCGAACACACGCACACACACACACACACATACACACACACACACACACACACACACCGCGGCGGCTGCGGCCTCAGGGGAGCTCGAAGCAGTGCGGCGCTGTGGGGCTGCGGACAGTCAGGCTCGCAGAGGTGCACCGAGCTCTCCATGCGGGGCGCCGCTTTCGCGTGAGGGCTGTGCCGGCAAGGGTCGAGGGGGTGTCAGAGGAGAAAAGTGTACCCGTGCCGGTAGTCGAGCAGTGGCAAAGCGTCCTGATTTGTTCTAAGAACCTAGATTGGTCTGCACGACATGGTCTTAGAACATTTCTGACTGAGACTGCTCTGCTTTACCACATTGGGTCTAGGGTCTATGTTCTAAGAACTTTGCTGTAGTTCTTAAAACATTTCTGGGTTCTAAGACCACTCTGTGGCAGGACGATAAGAATGCCGGGACGGTCGGTCCCTGCTCAAGCTGCCCTTCCCTCGTTTTCCCATTCTTGGGCCTCCTGGGAGGCCTTCGTCGCCACCACCGGCTTCGCCTCGAAGTGCTGGTTAGAACGCACCCTATGGGAGTGGTTCGGGGAGTAGCGGTGTGGGTACCTCCTGGTTTCCCCAGGGGGTGTTCCATGCGAGATTTTTCCGCTGGGGGCATAGGTGGAGCTCCTTGCGGGGCACGGATCTCGTGAAGGGATGTGCCGAACTGGGCGAGGCGCCGCTACGCGGACCCTCCCACTGGGGCCGTGAGTGGAGCTCAAACTGGGGCACAGTCCTTGTGAGCTGTGTGCCGAAATGAACAGGGGGGGACCATGCGGACCCTGCCACTGAGGTCATTCATGGAGCTCCGTGTGGGATACGATCTGCATGGGGTGCGTGCGGACACCGGCTCGGCGGCGCCATGCGAGTTCCTCCACTGGGGCCATCGGTGGAGTTTCCAATAGCCAATAGGGCACCATCCGCATGAGGGGTGTGCCGGAATGAGCGGGCGGGCGCCATGCGAGCTCCGCCACCGGGGCTATATACGTAGAGCTCCCTATGGGGCACGAATCGTCCCAGCGGGGGGTCGCAACGGAAGAACCCAGAATTGTCGCCTCAAGCAACTGCTGACCGAGCTGCTGCCACGGGCGGTCGGCGTGGGGCTCCGACGACGACGACGGCGGAGGAATGACGCCGTCGAGGAAGGGACACGAGGGCCCCGCGGCAGCCACAGCATCCAGGCCCCGGCCAGGCTCGGGCCGGGCTCCAATTTCGCCCGCCGACGGCGGCAAAGCAGCGGCGGATCGCAATGGAGCAGACAAACCAGATCAAGGTAGTCCGACTTCAGTTGGTCCGAAAGCCCAGCCTCGGTCGAGGCCACAATGAGGCGCATCCGCCGAGCCAGCTCCAGGCACCCACTCAGACGTCGTCGGACCTCCCGCGCAGAACGGTGGGCTTGGGCAGCCTGCTTAGCTAGCACATCGGCCAACGCATGACCTCGGCGCTGTTGAAAAGTGGTCATGCCGTCAAACATCTGGGCGACGCTGCTGTGAGATTTGGCCTTGTGCACTCCCAGCCCCTCCAGGCGGTCCCTGACATCCCGCACCAGTGGGCCGTAGGATTCAGTGCGCCCTGCGCACTATGAGGGCCCCTCAAAAACCAAGCAGTACCAGCACAGTCGATACACAGATCCGATGGGCCTTTCTCGAAGGGTTTGCTCAGATAGCACTAAAAACGCGGAGCCGTCGCCGTCTCGAGCAATTTGTTAAGGAGCGGCACAACGCCAGAGATCGATGACATCATCTCGCCGTTAATGTCCCCTATCACTTATCACCGACCAGCTGACCACAGGATGATTTCCCAACTGGGCATCGAATCCTGCTCCATCCGTGAAGATGGCACCGCCAGTGAAGGAAGGAGGAGGGAGGAACGGGCAGGAGGAAGACAAGGAAGGAGAAGGCGGAGGAGGAGGAGGCGGAGGAGAAGCAGGAAGAGGAGGAGGAGTGCAGAGCCAGGGGCGTGGCCGAGACAGGTGGGCGACTGCTGGTTCCTCTCGTCGCTTGCCGCGCTCGCCGAGTTCCAGGGAGGCGTCTTCGTGCGGTCCCTGCTGCCTGGCCAGGAGTCGATTAGCGCCTCCGGAGTGTACATGGTGCGCCTTTGCCTTGGAGGAGCGTCCGTGCGCGCGCCCGCATTCCCGCTTTCCGTTCCTCCGCGTCCTACCTCGAAGCTGTCCACCGCCGAGCATTGCCTCCCCTCCCCCCCTTCTGCCAACGCTGTGTCTCCTCCCTCCCTTTTCCCTCCTCCTCCTCCTCCTCCTCCTCCACCTCCTCCTCCTCCTCCTCCTCCTCCTCCTCCTTCTCCTAGGAGCTGCTGCGGCTTTCAGCACAGCGGGAGCTCCCACCGTACCTGCCACACCGTACATCCATGGGTGGAGGTCACTAGCATGCGGGGCGGTAGGCCTAGGCTGGCCTGCCGTTCCTACACCTCCCTTCCTCCACCCGCAAGGATTATTCTAGTGATTGCTCCCAGAACTGTTGCTCACAATGTTGAATGGGCAGATTACATTCGATTGGGAGAGATTTCGGCGCTCACGCCGACGGTTTACATAATGTTGTTAAAAGGGCACAGGGCGGGCTGCTTTGAAGGATGAGGACGTGCTCCAGACCATTCTCCCCAACCACACATGCGTGCAGTTTGGTTTTCGGAAATCTAGACGGGCGAATCGTTCATGTGACTTGGCAGTGCTGTACAGCGCAAGGATGAAGGACAAATTGCAGCAGATGCAGTTCCCGCCCAGATCTAGAGGCATCGGTGGGCGCAGCGATATGACAAAATTCAGGATTTGAGCATCCACGGTGGCGCTGTGTCCTATTTACTTGCGGCCAAAAGGAGACGCACCCCCCGTGTTGAAAGAGGTCGTAGACAAATGTATGGCATGGTTTACACAGGCAAGTCACAAACTGGGACACCAATGCATCATCATCATCATCATCATCATCATCATCATCATCATCATCATTGGCGGAGACCTTATTTGTTCTTTCGGCATCCGCAGAGACTCGACAGGGCGAAAATACGATCGTGCAGATCATACCGTGAGCCTGAAACATCCAGGCATGGAGACGGCCATATCGCATAATATTCGAGACGCACTTGAGGGAAGTCATTTGCCCGTGGGTAGCAGTTGCTGGGACATTGGGCCAAACTGCTGAAACGGCGCCTCCAGCAGCAAGATAGATCATTATATTTTGCCGACGGCGTGCCTGCAGATAATCACGGCCATGCGGACACTTCAGCAGCTTGGCCGCAGATTACAGCGACGAGTCACAACGCGACCGCAGGACCACCTTCCCCTCTCAATGGAGTTAGACATTCATGTGAAGTGTGGGCACCAGGTTCACATCACCCGCGAGTCAATCGATGCACCCTCATGGGAGCATATGTCCACGGACACCATCGAATCAGTTACTCGAAGGAATTAGAGAAGCACGCAGAAGAGACCCCCGAGAGCACTTGGAGAGATTCCTTTCGCTTCGCGGAGTGCACGTCCGGAGCACGTACAGTCACGTCGTCGCGGGGCCTTTTGGGAGCCTCCTCGGGCCTCCTGGAGGCCTCTTTGGAGCTTCTTTGGGCCTCTTGGGGAGTTCTTTGGGGCCTCTCCCCCCCTCCTTTTCACGCTCCTTCCCCATCTTCCCTTCAAGCACCGGCTCTAATCATGGGCGCCGCCGTGACCAACTTCCACCTGGCTGGCGCTGCGCCGCACTTCGCCCAGGGGGAGAAAAATATCATTACACTTCAGTCGTTGCGTGGCCTTGTGGGGGTTTCTTTGAAGCCTTTTGGAGGCTTCTTGGGGACTTTTTGGGGGCCTCTAGGATTGTTTTTGGAGCCCCTTGGGGGCATCTTGGGGGCCTCTCGGGGCCTCTTGGGGGCGTTTTGGGCCGTCTTGGGGCGCTTTGGCGCCGTTCCGCCCCTTCGGAGGCCGTCTTGGGGGCCTCTCGCGGCCGCCTTGGGGTTCTTTTGGGGTCCTCTTGGGCCGTCTCAGGGGCTTTTGGACCGCCGATGGGGGCTCTTTGGGCCGTCTTGGGGTCCTCCTGGGCCGTTTGGGGGCCCTGTCGGGGGCTTCTTGAGCCTTTTTGGGACAATGTTGGCGGCTGCCTGGGCGGCCATGGGCTTCTGAGAGCTGAGAAAGGCGAGAACGCTAAAATCAGCAAAAAAACTATAGGATAATTGATGGTTTTGGCCTATGGAGGCGCTCTTGGGGGTCGTCTTGGGGCCCTCTTGGGAAGTGTTATGAGTTTCTTGGGCCCTTTTGGGGCCATCATGGACCGTCTTGGAGCCGTCTTGGCCCGTCTTGAAGCCAAATGCAGCCGTCTTGAGGCCTTATTGGGCCTCCCAGAGGGCCCAAAATCCCGAATCATTGATTTTACATAGGTTTTGGTACGTGTTTTGAACCCCAAATGGGGCTCTCTATCTTGGGTCTACGGATGTGGCGTAGCCCCTGGGGAGGGGTAGGGGGGAGACATAATAATGTAACGCAATACAGTATGTGGCAATTATGTAACAATTCGATACATTGGATACGTTGCATTATCGCCTCCGCAGAAAACGCTGCCGCTCAGCACGTCACTTCCAGACGTAGATTGCACAGGCTTGCGCCGCATCCGCCGACCCCTCGTCGTTTTTTGTTGGCGGGACCGCGTGACACTCCTTCTGTGGGCGCCGCGGGAGAGTCCGCCCGCCCCGGCTTGTCGTTGCGAGACCTCTGCTGCCCATCGCGCAACCGTGCGAAAAAAAAGCGCACGCCAGGTTCGCGGCGCTCGCCGGGGAGGGCCGGTGGGATTCCTGCGCGGGGCCTCGAGGGGAGGGGGTTCCCGGGCGGGAGGAATCTCGCGCGCCCAGAAACCCAGAGCGGCCGAGAAATTGCCATAGCGGCATCTGCTGCATCGGTGCCCAGATGCCGCAGATGCACTAGCGTTTTCTGCGTGGGCATCGGAAAGGGAGCAGAAGAACTTCTCGTTGGAGAATCGCTCCACATCGAACTCGAAGTCCCCAGAACGCGCCCCACCAGCAGCCCTCTCTGCGCAACCATCAGTTCACGTGCAAATGCCAGTGCGCTGGCAAGTGCCGCGCTGACTGCAGATGATCGGCTGCGCGCGCCCGAGCATGTTCGCCGGCCCAACAGTCCACGAGCGCGTTAGACCTGGGCTGGCACCCGAACGGACAGAGCGCTTCAGGCACTTCCCCGACTGGGGGGCCTCGGCGGTCGGAGATCGTTACGTTGCCGTTCGCCCTTGGGAGCCTTGGCGTCGAGAGTTGTTTACGTCATCCTTCGTTCTTGGGAGCTTCGGAGTCGGGAGCTGTTTACGTCGCCGCTCGCTGATCTGAGCCTTCGTGTAAAGAGCTTTCGCGCTTCCGATCGCCACCGCGCCTGGGTCGTCGGTCTGGGGTTTGTTCGGTGTTCGCTGGGATCTCGCAGGGGGCTTCTCGCGGGCCTCGCGGGGGCAGTTTCGAAGCCTCCTGGGGGCCGTTTTGGAGCCTCTTGGGGCTTCTTTTCGGCTTCGGGTGGGCCTCTTGGGAGCTTCTTGGGGGCCTCTATGGGCCTCCTGAGACCTTCTCTGGGCGGAGGGCTCGGCTTCTCGGTTCGTGCCCCCCCTCTTAGACCCGTTTTGGGGCCCTCCTGGGCCGCCTCGGGCGCTTCTTGGGCCGTCTCGGCGCCTTCTTGGGCAGTTTTTAAGGCTTCGTGGGCGCCTCTGGGGCTGTCTCGAGGCAGTCTCTGCGTTTTCTTGGCCAGTTTTCAACGCCGTGAAAGCCGGGAAGCCGCGCGTGCTAAGCAAAATGCGTTTTCCCATGGGGAATCAATGATGTTGGCCTCTCGGGGCCCTCTTGGGGCGCCTCTTATGGGCCTCTTGGAGGCGTCTGAGAGCGTCTTGGAGACATCTTGGGCCGTCTTGATGCCGGCGCGGGCGCCTGGGGCCGGCGCGGCGGCCTCCAGGGGCCTTCGCGGCCCGTTGCGGGGCCCTTTCGGCGCCCGTGATGCGTTCGTCCGGGGCGAGGGGGGGGGGGGGTCGCATTGCCGATTCGGGGCCCCAGGGGTGGGATCATGGGGGGGGGATCTCGCGCGCCTGGAGACCCACGAGGGGTCGGCGGATATTTGGGGGCAGGGGGGTGCGCAGGCGGGATAGGGCCTGCCGCGCGAGGGCGCCCAGAACAGTTTGGTCAACATCTCCCCGCCAGACGAGCGCCCATCGAGGCAGTGCGAGCGCGTGCGCGCTGAGCGGCGACACCCATCAAGCAGCGCGCCCCTCTCCGAGAACGACTCGGCGCAGGGCCCAGCAGGACAGCGAGACATGCTGGTGATAATGGGATTTCAATAACTTGTTCTGCGAAAGCCGAGTGCGAAGTGGCTCGCGCTCGCCCTGGGACTGTCGCGCAAAAAACTACAAGCAGCACGGCGGTGCCGCGCTCGAAAGGAGAATGCAGACCACAGAAGAACTCGAACGGGCATGGAAGAAGCGCGACTGGTCGCAGGTCCACAGCCTGAAGACATCATTGTCAGGCACAGGCAGAGGGCCAAGGAAGCGATTCATCTTCGGGGCCAGGCAGAGCATGACCATCGACGAGGCCACGAACATATTCTCACATAAAGCAGAACATGGTGGACCTGGAGCTACGCCGACAATGGGCAGAGATGGCGGCAGGCCATCGATTTCTGTCCGAACTAGTTGCGCCAGGGTTAGCAGTGGAGATGGCCCAGATCGACCGCCCCGGCCAGATAATGCACCTCAGGCTCGCTCCGAAGCACCCGGCGTGGAGGGTGACCTCCGAAGCGCTGCTGGCGGCCATGGGCAGGAAAATGCTTTCGAATGGCGACAGTGCGAATATGTTTATACCTCGCACTTATTCTCGCCGGTGCCATGACCTCCTCACCATCATTAGAATGGGTTATTTCGTGCCCGTGAGCACTGCGCGCGCTCGCATGGTTGTTTTGTTGTTTCTTATGGTTTCTTTTTTTTTGTCCGCCCAAGCACTGCGGCGCGCACGGCGCCAAAGGATTGCGCATATTGCGGCGCTGCCGCGACGCATTCGGGCCGAGTTTCTACGGGCGGCGATCGCGCGAAACGACCGGCACCTAATGATTACGCGCGCAGGGGGCTCCGAGGTCGGCGTC